TTTTGGAGCAGTTTTGCCTAATGTTTTTTTGCCAATTTTCGCGGCGCTTCGCGCCGATTCGTGCACAAACCAAAAAGAGATTTGTGACTATACAACGCCCCCTCCCCCACGCGGGTATGCAATATGCATTACCTATGCAATATGCATTATCGATCATATTAGTGGCATACATCAGCAATCATACCGTGATAGAACACGAGGCTTTGCCGTGTAGGCTTCCCACCGGTAGGCACTCGGTTGGAATGCGGTCTATAGCCATTACTTTAAGGAAATACCTACCAAGCATAGTACGTAGTTCAAACCAGCTGAATGCTGATTGGCTAGCATTTTTCCGTAAGGGAATGGATTCCTCGGTAAGAGAATGACAAAGTGTAATCTATGGGAATGACTTCAGTCTTCAAACCTAAAATCGATACCGATATATTTGGCTAGGGTGATCGTTGGGCCATAAAAGCTCCTGATTTGTTCTCGTCTCAGCTCAAGCTACAAAACTGTTACTTCAGTTCAAAACCCTATGTTAAAAGTGGCATATTTGCTTTAAACGTTGAATGCATCCGACCGAAAAAGCCACGGTAAGAATGTCTACTATTGGGTTTTCAGTCGGTCAGTCCGTCCCCCCCAGTCAAAAATCCGTGGCGGCGCCCCTGCTTGTGGGTTGGGAAAACTGAAAAAACATACATTTCTACGTGCTTACGGAGGCCCACGATGCACATGTGTTGGCAAACATGATGATATATTAATTTTACGGTCATGATCAGCTTATCCAAGTTATTCCGCACAACAGTTTTGGAAGTGTGGTGCTAATAGGAAAACCGTCAGTCGTATTGAAGGGCTTGTGCTACTGTGCAGTGTGCAAGCCTGATGTAAAGTTGCCTTTACCACCTCATAGCACACGCAACCACCGCGTCGCGCTGTATTCTTGCTACCTGCGCACTGTGCGTGGCCTCAACCATTTCTAGGAGCCAGGAGGTGCCTGTCTGCCTCCGGAGCCTCCAGGGTCCAGTCGCCCACCATGCAGACCTCCACAGTAGCCGTGCGAGTTGCGCCCACCCTCCGGCCTGGCCCGCCCGCGCCCACAGCCTCCCTGTCCTCCATTGCAGTGGCCGTGCCGCTGCTGGTCTTCTTCACCGTTGGCCAGCCGTTCGAGCGCGGCTTTTTCTGTGACGACGAGTCCATTAGGTTTCCGCTGAAACCGGACACGATCACGAACCTGGCCTGTTACGCCGTGGCTGTGACGCTCACTGTGATCATGGTAAGTGGCGGCGGCGGCCGCAGGCCCAGAATCCCGTGCCGTCCGTCCGCCCGCCCGCCCAGTCGCAGTAGCTTTTGTCGCCGGCCGCTGTCGGTCTCTGGCTGCGGCCCGACTCGGCCCGTCATTCTTCACGTGGCATCTTTGGGCCATCTGTCTAACCCGTCCGGTACCCGGCAAATTATTCCGATGAACATTCTCCGCTTCAATACTGATCCCTGACTGTTTTGCGACATTTTTATACTTGTCTTTAATCTTGTTCTACTAATTATATTCTTCTATCTTTATGTCCTATTTTTACACCTGCTTGGTGATATTTTTCGCAACTTTCTGCTCATAAATCTACCAATAGTTTTGCATCTACATAACATGTCTCCCACTCTCTATGAGTAGTTAGTTCTCTGTCAGTCCTGTTTTAGCCGAGAAGAGTGGAGGGTCCGCATCTGCTTAGCCCCTCAGCTTGGTCACATCCGGCCTGTCTGCTTCACAACACCGCAGTCCTTGGAGTGCGACACCCGCTTCTGTGCATAGTCTGCGGTGACTGATTCCACCAGACACCGGCTTTTCACCGCTTAAATCACCGCGACTGACAGATGTCCTGACCTGCGTTACGTTGGACCTGCTTGGGTCATGGGTCTTGGAATTCGCTCACGGTGACTTTGTTAGCTCACACAGTCTCCTGGTAACATAGTTGACATGTATACAGCCCGCCGGAATTGCCACGACGTCCGGTTTGTTTATGTGCATTGCATGCTTGGATCGGTTGTAGTTTGCACAGGGGATGGTAAATGAAGTCGGCGAGAAAAGATTGATGTGCTTATATGTGGTTCAAACTCAAAGAAACACTGAAATCATCAAAATTAGATCATTAAAAAGAATCATCAAAATCATCAAAATTATTCATTTATCTTCTTATTCAGTCGATTTGTTTTATGTTGTCGTTCTTCGCTATTGTTTGATGTGAACTTTCTTTTAATTGATCTAAACTGCTCATATTGGGTTACTGTACAGTGTACAGTTCATAGCCCTGTTGCTATGTGATTAAGTGTTCGCTGAGCACTGTGCCTCGCTGTCTCAGTTAAGTAAGGTATACTATACACTATACAGACATGATCCCCCATAGCTTCACTGAGGTTCGACACCTTGAGACCGAATGAACACTGTTCCGTATTGAAATTGTGTCAAAAATTCGGAGCAATTATAATAACACAGAACAAAAATGATTGTTCCGTATTATTATACTGCTTGTCTCACATGAAATACAATTTCGGAGCAATATCGGTTGGTTGCTGTCTTGTTGTATGTGCCACTTTATGCCTACGCCGTGCGTGGGTCGACGTTCTTTGTACTTGGTGTGCGTATTTATTGGAAGCATGATTTCACCGAGCATACTTGGCATGGGGACCGTTTTAGAACACGTTGATACCGACTTTAATTATATTGAACGTGTGCATTTAGCACTTAAACTTGGCATGTAATGTGAACACGACTCACCCAAGGTGAACGAGAAGAATGAGTGTTATTGACTCAAAAGGAGATCAATGTTAGAGGTTTGTGTCCGGGGCTTTACGGGACAGTCCCGCGACCCCGTCCGTCCCCTTCCACCCTCTCCTCTCCGAGCTCCCGTCGAGCTGCACGAGAGGGTCGTCTGTCTCCTCGGCGCCTCGGGCTACCCACATCCCTCTGAGTCAGGTCCCGCGTGTGACACGCAGTCTCGTGCTGGACCCGGGGTAACTACCGAACTGGTGACCGGGCCAGAAACATGTTACGCTCGTCCGCCTACCATCGTGCCGCTAGTGGAATCCGGTCTGTGACTGTTTTTTATGACGTCGCGGCCGCATTCACTGACGTCACGTGCCGATCAAGTGTCAGCGGTGCATACCAAGTACGGACGGTGAATCATTCTCCGGTCGCGATATAATGGTTTACGACCGACCTAATAGGCCATGTTGGTTCGTGTGACGTGTGTATATTCGTGAGTCATCTCCGTGACGTTACAGTTACTCTCGAAAAGATGTATGACTCCGCAATCCGCACAGCTGGTTGTATTGTTAGGTTGCTCGTTGCACATGCTGTGCTATCTTATCTTGCGAGAAACCGCTCACATGTGGCTGCCTTCAGAACCGCGGATTGAGTACCTACTTTCCGGGTGCCGGTATCAATCGCTCTGTAGCGGTATTGCTTTGTCGCGAGATATCGAGCAGTGCCCAGGAGTGACGCACAGCCGCATTGCAGCACACATTCTACTGAGCAGCGAGTATACACTGATATCATTCCTGTAATCCAATTACTACCGCTACGGAAATCTGAGATGGGGCCATGGTGCGGCTGGGGTGTTAGAATCAGTCTCCTCTTACCATTTTCACATTCACCCACGGCTCCGCTTTGTGGTCTACGTGGGCTGGGTCGAGGCTCTCCCGCCTCTGCAGACGGCATGTGGCCCTGATCTTTGGCATGACATCAGCTCAATGAAGATAACCGTCTCCGAGCGTACGCTGCCCAACGACAGACGATTGCAGAGGTCATGCGTGACTTGCAGCGGCGGTGGTGTTTGCGACTACTGCGCTCCCTCGTACCTTCAGAGAAGCTCGTTGTACCCCCCCCCCCCCACAAACTTTTTCCTATAACAAACATTCGTACGCGATGGAATCTGCAGGGCTTTGTAAGGGTCTGTTAGCAGTCCACATGAGGATTGAAACCCACACAATCTGGAGCGACTGCTCAGGCCTCGGGAGTACAGACACTGTTGCAATCGAGCCTTGCAGTTGTTCCGGCGGTTTGATTGGCTAAGGCCCATTATCTGGCCTTCTGGTGGTTAGCAAGACTTCGCTCGCCTATCAAAGGTTCAACTTGCAGCGTTGTAAATGCCGGGGTTTCCTAGTACAAGTAAACCTTCCGCTCCCTGCAGTCAACTTATGGGTATTGTGTAAGCTTAGTTGTCCGTCGCAGTGCGGATGATGGACTTTGGATTGACGAATTTCATACACACAGGCTCCCATAGTTTATGACACCTAATATGAGTGTATTTAAGGGTACCTAATCCATTCCATAAGCAAACGCTCGCAGTCTGCAGAGGTGCCTTTGGCTGGACGTTCTGCCGGCTATGTCTGAGCGTACTCTCTCGGATATTGACGCGAGGTCGTTGCTGTTTTGGAGCCGGGTCAGACCGGGTTCTATTGATCGAGCCTGGCAGACCGGGCTGAGGGCATATTGTACCGATACAGATAGAATGAAACAAATGCCACTTAGTTGAATGGGTGATGGTGAAGAGATCATCTTCGCATGCGCTCTGTCCTGATTACTAACATCTACTGATAGACACATGTTGCATGAACTTTTAGCTTCCATGTTTGTCGTGTGGTTGGCGCATGAACTTCTTCATTGTGGCAGAAGGTACTCTTTATTTCATTGTGTCTAATCTTTATTTCACTGTCTCCAGTTGCTTACCTTGTTAGCTGGTGCTTGAATTTGGCGAATTACTGTTGCGCTCTCTTGGTTTTATAGTGGTATGCGAATATTTATTCACCGTAGCTTTGTCAGAGCGAGTAAACGCTTTTTAAATTTTGCATTATATTGTGTTTATTTATTTGCATGTGTACAAACATTGCATATTACGCTGTTTTTCTTTATTTGCGTAGAGACAGTAAGGCAGCTTGTCATTTATTCACGGTAAAACCGCATCATACGACCGTCTCCGTGCGCCGCAGCACCTTGGCACGGAACTAACGAGTGCGCCATGACTGTTGTGCAGATGTCGATAGTGGAGTACTTCCACTGCAAGCACTGCCACCGCCAGAAGACGATGGAGGTGTGCCGACTGAAGGTGCACCCGTGGTTCTGGGCCATCTACCAAATGGTGGGCGTGTTCGCGTTCGGCGCCGCCTGCTCCCAGCTCGCCACCGACATAGGTGAGACCAAACGAACAGCGGTTAGCCCAAAACTAACAGCCGTGTAGCCGAATAATGGCCGTGGAAATGAGGTCAGCTGCTCTTCGAATGACTAAATTTACGGCCTTATCTCTTTTCTCTGGATGTTGCGGAGTTTGAGGCTCGATTGGCCATGTGATTTATGACTTGAACTATATTTATATAAATGGCTTTGAACCATGTGCTAGTTTTGTTTCGTTAGTGTAATATATGGTATCATATTTGCGCCTGGGAAACCGACTGCCGATAATCTGTAATCACAGATGGCTGGCTCGGTGCACTGCGGGCACCGATGGTCTCTGGGCCGCGACTATTCTATTCTGCCTCGGCTGGCCACATTACCCGGTCCCGATGCCAAACGACGTTTCCTGGCTCCGGGCCGCCCGCCTCTCTCGCCCGTGACGTCAAGCCACCCACCCATGGCCTGTTAGTTGTGTTGGTCATGGTGTGACGTCACTCGATATATGTGACGTCACCCGGTCAGCCGGAGTCCCGGGTGAGGGTCAGCCACCTTCGGCTCCCCGGGCGCCCCCCCCCCCCCTTGTTGCTGAGATAGGTTCGGAGTCCGTGACGGTGAATGAAACCGAATGATTACCTATGTGGGTCTTTGGCAACTCATGAACCAGAAGACGATGGGTTAATCGAATTTGATGCGTTAATCGAATGACGCAGAACCGACACCTATTGTTGTACCAAGTACCTACCTCGTATGATCAGATCAAAGTAACAGGAACTTGCCTACCGTTTCGAAAACGGAGACTTGTGAATGGTATCGTTTTCTCTCCAGCTACCGCTTGCTAGATCAGCTTATCAAATGCCTCTGCATTGTATATGTCATTTAGATTTATATGGTGCAACGCTGCTTTGAGCGTGATTATAATGTTTATTACACTTTTCATATTACATAGTCATATTACAATGTTCCTTGACCGTCTTAAGGTTCACCTGCGTGTTAGTACGTATTTACTCGACTAGCGTGCCGCAGTGTTCAGACCACTTGTTGAGACCGCGTTGACCTCGCTCCGCAGGTAAATACTCGATCGGCCGTCTGCGTCCCCACTTCATCGCCGTGTGCAAGCCGGACGTGCTGGAGAATGGCAGCTGCACCGATCACACTTACATCACGAACTTCAAATGTCTGGGCCCAGACGAAAAGGCCATCAGGGAGGCGAGGTACGGACGGGGTAGGGAGGAGGGCGAGGGATGGAGGACGCAGGTCATCAAGGAGGGAGTAGATCGGGAGAAGGATGGAGCTAGGCAAGAGCTATAGTGCATTGTTAATGGTGTCAAGTGCTTTTGCGAGGAACATAGCGAGTATAGATAAGTGAAGAATCGTTGACCTTTTACTCGAAGAAATTAAATAAAGGCCAAAAATTATATTTCATACGGCTTTTGGCTACAAGATTTTATCAAACCAACAAAATGTCGCGCCACAAAATTTATGCTGACATGATGCACGATACAAAATTCATGTTGACTTGAATTTTATATCGTGCCATTTTGTTGGTTTGACAAAAGCTTGTAAGTTGTAGCCGAAAGTTCACCGTCTCTAATATAACTTTTGACCTTGATCTTATTCGTTCGAGGAAAAGGTAATGATTCTTCATATAGCAGATGTGAAATGTTAATGAATTTGGGGGAGATGAACTGCTTCTTCTCGTGAAAAGTAAAAAATAACAATATTTGATTTCTGTTTCCCGCCTTTTACGCTAACTTGCATGGTTTGCGGACACGTCTTGATGTATGACGTATGAGGTATGACACATACATGGTTGACGTGCGCCAGGCTGTATTATGACACTGTGACGGTCTATTGTATATGACGATAAATATCCTAGTTTAATTGTCTATTTTGCTGTTTTGTTGTTCCCCATAGCATCCTTCATTCATTTCAGACCTTGGTTGCGCTGTCTTTGTGTTTCAGGCTATCGTTCCCGTCTGGCCACGCCTCGTTCTCCTTCTACACGATGGTGTACCTGGCGGTAAGTGGACACTGTTGACACACATAAACTGTTAATGGCACACGACCAAGCGCCAACCATTTACACAAGCTGACACCGACTGGCGCCTGTTCTACACATGTCCTGACACATTAAGTTCTGATGAAGGCTTCTGCAGTATCCCGCTGACCGTTCGTTACGCCGTGACCGTCATGCTGTACCATTACCATATGTAACACTGTGACCGTCACGGTCATAGTCAGTGTCAGGAGCCATGATCTGGTGCAGAATATGCCAGGGATCTGTTACCGTTACCTACGGTGCTGTTGCGTCATTGATTACTTCACTGGCGTGACCTTTTTATCTCCCAATTAGGTAATAGACATTATAGACAACTTCAGTGGTGTGACCTTCTTATCTCCTAGTTAGATAATAGGCGTTCGACTTGCAATGACCCCTAGAAACAATAATAATATTTATGCATTCTTATGCCAGTACATGCAAGTGCATAATACATAGGTGTATATTCTAAACCGAGTGTATCCTTTCCATTCTCGCTGGCAGGATCGCCTACTTCGGTGTTATGAACTTGCACGACCGTTTGATCCCTTCCCTGCCCTCTCAGAATAACATGCATTTCCGTCCAACTCGCCCCTTCCACTTTCTAGTAATGCTAAAAAAAAAACTGATCGGTCGCACCCCCCCCCCCTCTTTCCCCTCTAGTTGCATCTGTAGGTTCATCTGACTCCGCGCTCCACTTCCCTTTCTAGCTGTAGCTGCTGCAGCAGCAGGGTCATCTGACACATCGCTCCCTCCCCTCTTCAGCCATGTATGCCTATAGGATCACCTGACCCCACCCCACCCTCCTGGGCTGTACTTTCAAGATCACCTGTCCCCCTCCCCCCGTCCCCCTCAGCTGTACGTACCTGGAACATCCTCTGACCTCTCCAGCTTTTAGCTGTACAGTATGATAATCTGACCGCGTCTCTCCTTCCCTCTCCAGCTATACCTGCAGGCGCGGCTGACGTGGCGCGCCACCAAGCTGTTGCGGCCGTTCCTGCAGTTCGTCTGCCTGATGCTGTGCTGGTACACGGCTCTCAGTCGCGTGTCCGACTACAAGCACCACCCGACTGACGTGCTGGCCGGAGCCGTGCTCGGCGCCATCGTGGCAGTGCTCGTGGTACGTCCCCGCGGCCGTGCTCGGACTAGCCGCAGAGCCGTGTTTTAGGAATGGTAATGGCGAGAGGGAGCGAGCAAAGGCTGGTGCGGGAGAGGAAAATTTGCGTTTTATGCCTACTAGGACCTGAACCGGCGACAGTTCTCTGGCCAAAATGCTTTGTCACAGACTGAATGCTCACGGACTTGATTTATTGGCTGTATAGCTTCTTGCGATTTTGATGCCCTTTCAGTCACTTTGGTCCAGACGTTTAATCATAACGGGTCTTTGGATAAGCGTAATTTTCTCTATTCTTACAGGACGGGTGGGTCCAGAGCCCTCACTCATGGGCATGTGGCGCCACGCGGTGGCTCGCTTTGGAACCTGCACTTAGTTGGTCGGGCAGCTTGGCAAACAATCTTCCCCGGACTTTGCTGACTCGTTTTCATTTGGTTTTGGGGCGTCCGTACAGAACTGGTCTTTGCGCTGCATAGTTTTAGAGTGGATATTCTGAACGATTCGGTTCCTATTGATTTTACATTAATTGACGTTTATAGCCATGTGGCATGATGATTATATATGATAAAACTGACAGAGGGACCCGGTAAACTAGGTTGCGGTCCTGTATGTATTCTTCCACTTCCTGGCACCATGACCAGTATTGTCACCACATCCCCGGCCGTCCAGTTTGTCCCCGTGAGTCATTCAGTGTCCGTCTGACCGACCCGCCTCCGTCCACAGGCTGTGTTCGTCTCAGGCATGTTCAAGAGGCGGTGCGCCGCTGCCGACATCGCGCCCGTCTCTAGACAAAACACCGTCAACAACTCTGAGCCGCTGCAGCCGGTCTAGGGGGCGCCAGACGGGCCCTGTCGTGTCCGCAGGCTGTCCCCGCCTGTCTGTGGTAGTGTTCGCTGGTTGACTGCGATTTCCCTGTCTGACCAGCGGACGCCAGGTCCTTGCCGATGGGCTGCGGTTGTCGAATAGTGTTTTTGGCAGGGGTGCAATTCCCAAGAAGCGGTGTGCGAGGAGGCGAACGGCCGTGGAGCAGCCTGGCACCACATTGTGTATTACGGTGATGTGCAGAGAGAGGTACAACAATATTCGGCTCAACTTGTTAACGACATCATTACTCCATTCTGCGACGAAGAAGCTAAATTCCTGCCTCAACGGAGCTTCAACGGGTTGACATTGAATCATATGTTAAAGATGCGAAATTAAAGGCTTTCGGTTATCTTCACTACTAAGAATGTGTCAGCTGCGAAATTGCAAGCATTTCTTGGCTTACTTGTCGCTCGGTGTGTGGAGGTTCGGCAAACTATTCAATTATAGCTATTGAGTGCAAAAATGTACACTTTCGCATGAAGTTGTTACGGATTCTTCCGCATGGGTCGTCTAAAAGGCTTAGGTGTTTGGCCTTTGCACGTCAAGTGTATGACCATTTGCGCGTAGTTAGTGGAAGAAACACCGGTCGATACCAGAGGTGCAAGCCTAGGCTTGGTGGGATGGATTCAACGAACAGCTTACGCTGTATTGAGTTTCCGTTCGGTGCTTGGTTTCAACCATTTGTAACTTGAAATTGTACGTATAACTTGTAATGTCACTTGGCAGACTACCTGATCAGTGATAGTGTTCTGATATGGTTTGTTAGCATCGCTGTTTACTAATCATCTCACAGTAGTTTGTCCTTTGTGACTGTGCGTGTTGTAAACATAACAAGGATCAGGTCCCATAGCAGTAGAACAGCTGTATGGAGATGTAGCATGTTGACAGCGAGCTTATATTCGCTATATCGTGTTCGTCTGCCACTCAGGACTTTGCATTGATTTCGTTCAGCAGTGTCAGCTCCTTTCGTGACTGCCACTTCCATTCTCCGAGTAGCTTTTCTATTCTCTATCGATGATCATGTACTGGATGATCCATAAGTATTTCTAATTTTGACGCAATGTATTGGTGTTAGTTCATATGGTTAGTGCAGCTAAGTTTTCACGGAAGCGACCGTATTTTTCGTTTTATTTCGGCGATTTGATTCGCAGTCTGTGAGCTTGGTTGTGGGAGCGTCAGAGAAAGCGATGTTTGCAATGTGAATCTAAACATGTTTGATCGTAATAAGCATAGTGCCTTTTATGCCGTAAGATTGTTATCGTTAGTAAACTGATGAATGCAAGTTTTGGGGATTCGAGTATTTATGGAGACCAAGCTGGCTCTTTTCAGAAAAAAAAAGAAGAGTTATGTGATTTGATATCGGAGGCAAATAACAAAAGATGAGATGAGCATGTTAAAATATGAATTTGGCCTCATGATGTGGTGGCCTGACTATGATGTGATAATTTCGGCCTTTTGGAGAAGGGATGTTGAAGGTGTTATATGCTGGCTCTGATGAGAGCAGTGGTTATGGTGCCCGCTTGTGAACCGGAGTTGGCTGATTTACGTTTCTGGTAAATATCGTTTTTTGAATAAGGTTCCGTGGTGCCGAGGAGCCATGCTTTGAAACTGATTAGGGTGAAGGATAGGTTACCTTGGTCGCGCTGAATGAATGAAGCAACATTTTTTTATTTTGGCTACGTAGAGGGCGACCTTGAGCGGTGTCATTGGTTTTGTGTTTGTAAGTAAACATTTATTGTTTGCGGCTTTTGACGTTACCAAATACAAAATGCATATGTTTTCTCAACAACTAATTCGTGTTTCACTTTTCAAATATTTGGTTTCTATCTGTTTGGCGTTTCGAGAGTTGCCCTTCGTTGTTTTGGACTGCTCCGCAGCGTGCATGCGTGGTGTTGAAACCGAAGGTGCGACTCGCGAGCATCCTTCGAGCAGAGGGACAGCCTAATTCATTGGCCATCCATTCGGACGAGCACGGAGCATTCGCCACCTCTGGGTAACCATAATCCCTCTTTGGGGAGTGACAAATACGTAAACCTCAGTGACTCCTCAAATGTTGATACAGATTATAGTTCAACCTTCGCTATCGGTCTACGGCATCGAGTGTTAGAACATGGATGAAGTATTCCTGGATAGGACACTCCCTATTCCCCAACACTAGCGCCGGCGACCAAGCGGCCGCCCTGGTGGCGGAGCTCCGAAACATCGGCGGCGAGTGCGCCGGCGGCCGCCGCACCGGCTTGCGTGCTAAAAACGCGGTAATGGAGGGCGAAATTAGCGAACTTTAGCTCACAAGACACAATTTCAGACACTTCAAACATAATTTCTAGTCCTTTCTTATCATTATTATGGCTCCATTTAGTCACTATCACATACGGAATCATTACCTGATGCCCATAAACTAAGCCGGTATTCTTGACTTGCTGATGCAATTTATCATCAAATATCATCGTTCCTCGGCAGTCGAACAAGTTCCTATTGATGATTTAATACAAATGTTAACTTATTTTCATGTTATCGCATAAAACTTAACTTTATTCCAACATTGGCTCTTCGGCTGTAATCACGAACCGTCACTTGTCAGCAGAATTTAAGCAACTTCTGAAATCAAAACTGGGAAAATAATACTTCCATGACATTCCTCAGTACTTGTTCTACCTGGTTCACAAAAAAAATCATCAAAATCGGTTATAGGTAAGTAATAAACGACAAAAGTATACAAAAAGACACGCTCCGCCCATAGCCCGCAATGCTAAAATGACGCCAGCGCCCTCGCCGTCGGGAAATCCGCCGCCGCCGCCGGGTGGTCGGAAAATCGGCGGAGTGTCCGATCCAGGAATACCTAATCCATGGTTAGAACGTGGGGTCAGAACGATCAGCTTGAACTGGCTTCGTATGGAGGCGTGGAGGCATACAAGGCCCATTCAGGTCGTGATCATGTGGTGATCAATGATCATCATCATACTTATCCATACTGAGGCCGGAGCACTGAAGTAGGGAGGTACTGCTGGTGCTGCAGCGTCGATCCCCCTCCCGGCTCCCGCTACTTTGTCGTAATCCGAGCTCGCTAAAAAGATGTGTTGATTGATCACTACCATTCGTACGCCCAGCCTTCACGCTAATTACGATCATCCGTGGCGTGCGTCTGTGTTGTAATATGAAAATGGTAGGTGAAGTGCTTCTTCCGCTGAGGTTTCGCTGGCGATTTTCAGGACTGTCTCATCCCTATCTCCGTAACGTGTCGTGTGCGACCAATGACGTCACGGCATTGCGGCGTTCTGATTGGGCGGCAGCTCTGAATCGCCCGACTGGTGGTCCCCGCTCGACAAGCGCACGTGCGCCGACTAGACATTTGTAGTGGCATTGACGGCAGAAAAAGTGAGGTAATGCAGAGCTCTGAATATACTTGAATAGAGTCTAAGCCGTTAGTAATACGTAAAAACGTCAGATAGGTTTCTTGTTCGTCTTGATTTGAGCTTTTATGTGATATAACTTTTACCTTAGTGTCGAGGTTGCCAGCTATGTGGGAGAGCCCTAAAGTTGGGTCATTTTCCATAGGATTGCATTACAGCCGTCCGACCCTTCGTACCTGTGACGTCACGGAAATCGCTGGTTCGGCCTAATGAGCATACCTTCTATATAGGGCCTTGGGCGATTTTGAGTCATCCGTGATTCCCCGCCCGTCCCGTTAAGATGACGTCACCAGATTCTGTGGAACGATTGTATTGTTAGATGCCGATAATTTCGTAATCCTTGATAGTGTGTTGAGCGACGTCGAGCGGCGCGGAGGCGAGTGGGTGTGTTGGTCAATAAAATGAAGGAAAACGAGTGATTATTAGAGCGCTTACGTGTGTCAAGGCTGTTTTTAAGAACTGAAGGCCTGACATATCAATAATCAACGAACACTTGGCGTTTTTCTATTGGAATAAGTTGTTGGCTGACTTCTTGGGGTGGAGCCCGACTTCAAGCACGTTACAGCAGGTGACTGTATTAAATGATATTTTTGCATCGCTGGGACGGTGAAGGAAGAATTCTCTTTGTTCGAATTTGATATATATTTTTGAAGATCTCAGATATTCTCACTGACAGATAAGTTCTTACTTGTAAGTTATCTTTGTCAGTCTAAGATCAGCTGCACAAGAAGAGAACATCAACATGGCTGGAAATAGTGGAATGGAAAGCCTGATTGGCATTGTAAATCAGCTACAAGATGCATTCTCTCAAATGGGTGTTAGTATGCAGCTGGATTTGCCACAAATAGCAGTAGTTGGTGGCCAAAGTGCAGGAAAGTCATCTGTGCTGGAGAACTTTGTTGGTCAAGATTTTCTCCCTCGTGGCTCAGGCATTGTGACGAGGCGACCCCTGGTGCTCCAGCTCATCAACCACCCTGTTGAGTACGGAGAGTTCTTGCATCTCAAGGGCCAGCAGTTCCCAAATTTTGATGATATCAGAAGGGAGATAGAGGCTGAGACAGACCGAGTCACTGGCAGCAACAAGGGAATCAGTAGTGTCCCTATCAATCTGAGAGTGTTCTCACCTCATGTCCTAAACTTGACGTTGATAGATCTGCCAGGCATGACCAGAGTGCCTGTGGGTGATCAGCCAAAAGACATTGAGGAGCAAATCAGGAACATGATCATGCAGTTCATCACAAAGCCCAACTGCCTTGTGCTTGCTGTCACCCCAGCCAACCAGGATCTTGCAATCAGTGATGCCCTGAAGCTGGCACGTGAGGTGGACCCAGATGGAATGCGGACCATTGGTGTCATAACCAAACTTGACCTGATGGATGATGGAACTGATGCCAAGGATATTCTGGAGAACCGGACTCTCCCACTGAGACGAGGGTATGTTGGTGTGGTAAACCGCAGCCAGAGAGACATTGAAGGTCGTAAGGACATCAAGGCAGCCATTGCAGCAGAGAGAAAGTTCTTCTTGAGCCACCCAGCCTACAGATCAATGGCAGATCGTATGGGCACTCCCTATCTGCAGAGAGTGCTGAACCAGCAGCTGTCAAACCACATCAGAGAGACGCTGCCATCCCTCAGGGACAAGCTGCAGAAGCAGCTCCTGAGCATGGAGAAGGAAGTGGAGGAGTACAAGCACTTCCGACCGGACGATCCCAGCATCAAGACGAAGGCGATGCTGCAGATGATCCAGCAGCTGCAGGCGGACTTTGACCGCTCCATCGAAGGCTCCGGAAAAGGCGACGGTCGCATCAACACGGCTGAGCTGTCGGGCGGCGCCAAGATCAACCGGCTCTTCCACGAGCGTTTCCCGTTCGAGATCGTGAAGATGGAGTTCGACGAGAAAGAGCTGCGCAAGGAGATCGCCTTCGCGATCCAGAACATCCACGGCATCCGCGTCGGTCTCTTCACGCCCGACATGGCCTTCGACGCCATCGTCAAGAAACAGATCGAGCGGCTGAAGGAGCCCAGCCTCAAGTGCGTCGATCTGGTGGTGCAGGAGCTCACGAACGTGGTGCGCTCATGTACAGACAAGATGGCGCGCTACCCGCGCCTGCGCGATGAGGCCGAGCGCATCATCTGCACCTTCATTCGCGAGCGAGAGTCTGAGCTGAAGCGGCAGCTGATCCTGCTCATAGACTGTGAGCTCGCCTACATGAACACCAACCACGAGGACTTCATCGGTTTCGCCAATGCCCAGTCTCAGACGGAGAATGCCAACAAGACCGGCCGCAAGCTGGGCAACCAGGTGATCCGCAAAGGCTGGCTGTGCATCAGCAACCTGGGCATCATGCGCGGCGGCTCGCGCGACTACTGGTTCGTGCTGACGTCCGAGAGCCTCAGCTGGTTCAAGGACGAGGAGGAGCGTGACAAAAAGTACATGCTGCCGCTGGATAACCTGAAGCTGCGTGATGTCGAGGGCGGCTTCATGTCGCGCCGCTCAGCGTTCGCTCTCTTCTCGCCCGACGGCCGCAACGTCTACAAGGACCACAAGCAGCTAGAGCTGAGCACGGAGACCTCAGAGGAGCTGGACTCGTGGAAGGCGTCGTTCCTGCGCGCTGGCGTCTACCCAGAGAAGGCGTCGGCAGCCAACGGCGAGTCCAGCGGCAGCGATGACCAGGCCACCTCGCTCGACCCGGCGCTTGAGCGACAAGTGGAGACGATCCGTAACCTAGTCGACAGCTACATGCGTATCGTCACCAAGACGACCCGCGACCTGGTGCCCAAGACCATCATGCACATGATGATCAACCAGTGCAAGACGTTCATCATGGGCGAGCTGCTGGCGCACCTGTACGCCAGCGGCGACCAGGCCAGCATGATGGAGGAGTCGGCGGAGGAGGCTGCCAAACGGGAGGAGATGCTGCGCATGTACCACGCCTGCAAGGAGGCGCTGCGCATCATCAGCAACGCGCAGCTGGCGTGCTCGGCGGCGCCCGCCTCCGCCGCCGTCAACATCGACTGGGCCAACTCGACCAGCAGCAGCAGCGGCAGCGGTGGAGGTGGTGTCGGGCCGGCCACGCGGCGCGCGCCACCACCCACGGCCGCGCGGCCGGCCCCGTTGACCGGGCGGCCGGCGCCGGCCATCCCGTCCCGACCCGGCGGCCGCCAGGGCCTGCCGCCGCCGCTGCAGCCCACCCGCGTCGGAGGACCGCCGCCCATCCCGGGCCGGCCACGCTAGACGGCGCGCCCGCCCGCCCGGCCGGCTCGCCCGAGACCAGCAGGTAAGGCCGCCGCCCGCGGCCAGTCGTAGATAGCTCACAGTGCTTACCCGGTATCTAGACGTTCCCGTGGATGTCGTGGTGTAGCGCCCGTATCAGTTGGCTTATTGGTCGTTAATGTTGGCCCTCAGTCGTGCATTACAGTCCGCCAATGTGTACGTGAATTGTTATACATATTTGCGTTCCGCGCGCAAACTTAATGGGCACAGTACCTGTCCCTGCACATTCTCCGCCTGACTAGCGAGTTAATGTTAACTGCTGGCTTCTCAGTAATATGATATATACAGGGAGTGATTGTATGCACCGCACCGTTTCCGTCACCGCAGGGCATTTAACCCGCCGCGCGCCGCCCCTCTCCTGCGGTGGGGGCGCTCGGTGTCTATGTCGGCCGCACGCGTCGCCGATACCCGGGGTCGCCAATTCCAGTCGATTGCTGTGTCTGCGGCGCCCGAGCGCGACCTTGAAAGCCAGCATCGTGAATCCGAGTAAAGACCTGCTGTCGCTCAGTCTGAGCGAGGCAATAGAGCCGGTCTGTGGCCTGCATGCCTGTCGGACACTGCGCGCCAGCCACCGCTTCACGAGGCTTTGTTTCAGCGGCGTACTTTGTGTGTGTGTGCGTGTTACAGCGGCTGGGAGGTTGTTGTGAGACACAAGGGCGTAGTGCGCGGCCACAACGGTAGCGCGGTGGGTGTCTCGGCGTGCCGCGTGCAGCGCTAGCCCAACTGCGCAGCGCTCTGTCTGACGGCACGGAGCGGTCGTCCCTTCGACAGCGGCCGGGCGTGGGCGATCGACGAATCGATACAGTACTTGTGCGGTCGGCTCCCACTGCACCTGATGCGGCAATACTATTCTGAGTGGCGTCCAAATTTATCAATGTAATCCCGTGTTTGTATGATTGTTGAGACGTGTCGGAACTTCTGAAGCTTTGATGGCTCTCTTTGGTTCGCACAGCAGCCTGTATTGAGCGTCTATTTGTCGTGCGCTTATGATGTTTTTTGAAGAGCATGGTGCAGTCTGATCTGTAGTGATATGAGAAGCGCAGATGGATGTGTTTCGTGCTGGCTTAGTATAACTTATCTCGCCTTGTATTGACCTTTATTGAACTTCCGTAAACTAGGAAATAGGAATGCAGGCCAGCTTTGTGTATATGTGCGTGGGTTTCATTATTTTGCATAGCACTGCAATGTTGTTCAAACTTCGGCGGCAGCAAACTGATTTTGTATAAAGGGCTCAATTTAGCGCCAACTGGTATGTTTATCCGTTACCAAATTTTGAAGTAATAGTTTTATCAATGTGTTACGTGCTGTTCCTTGTCCGAATCTTGTGCATGTAATAAACTTGCAACGTGAAGCCCGCCGTTCTTTCGTGACAGTAATGTGGCGTACGGATGGAATTGAAAGCACCCTGGTGTGTCACGAGCTCGTTGACTTCCGTGTTGGGAACTGCTCCCACGGCAGCACCATTTCACTATTTCACCGGCGCCTGTATGTTCATGTGACCACGTTGCGTCCTGCACATAAGTTATGACAGACCGCAACACGGGAAACATCTCACTATCACCAACAGAAGGGCACGGGCGGTTGGTCTCTCCAAAAGTGTTCGTGTATGACGATGCATCCATACTGAATAAGTCCGTTAGAACTTGATATGACCTATTGTCAACGACGAAATGTGAATGAATGTGTGTGGCCTGAAATTATCAACCTAACCTGAATTGACCGATAATAGGGTTGGGACCTATCTGCATGCTCTGTATGTTTTGGTAAAATAAAAAAGCTCAGAATTTTTAATGATTTAATTTAAAATCACTTTGTTAAAAAAATGCCTAGTTAGTTCAGAAATTAATTATTTGTGGCTGAAAACAACTTGCTTCTGATTGGTCGGGCTAATCATGACGTCACATGTAGGTATATAACTGTCTGTATATTTGGCGCAGTTGAGACATACATTTTCTATGTATTTTCCTGCATATTTACGTCTGGACAACGAGTTGCGTTGGAGAGGCCGGAAATAGTGTCGATTTCAGGACCGCAAGAATGGACCGTCATTGCAATGATTCTTTTTTAAACCGTGCACTGTTTTCGGCCGGAATTTAATAGTTACTACAAAATATTTTGTAATTACGTTTCCACCAAGAACGAATGCCATCAGGGCTAAATTTTCAATATTATTGCATTTTGTCAAGAAGCATATAGTGCTGTGATATTGCAGTTTTAGCGCGTTTGTTACAAAATATGAAGCGAATAAGCGTCAGTAAATTTTCAACGCAGTTTACAAACAAGCATTTGGTCTTTCTCGTTTATAAGCAGTGGCTAAGAAAAGGTTGATCAATCCTGAAGTTCAGTCATCGTACCTCAACTTCGCAGCAAGATCCCCCAAGGACAGAGGATATATTGTATACATGTCCTGTAAATCAAAACAAACAAGCATTTGGTCTTTCTCGTATATAAGCAGTGGCTAAGGAAAGGTTGATCAATCCTGAAGTTCAGTCATCATACCTCAACTTGGCAGCAAGATCCCCCAAGGACGGAGGATATATTGTAAACCTGTCATGTTAATCAAAACATTTTTGTGCCTTCAAAGGCTTAAGTTACTTGTGGTGTGTTCGGAGTTAGGCTATATGGCCCTTTTTGTTGTATGTTTATGTGGAGATTGAATACAACTGTGACCCTGTGCCTGTTTGTATACTTACGGTCAAACAGGGAACAGCACATTCACATAACATACTCACCTAGCACCTTACTCATAGCTGTACCCTGCAGGATCTGTACTTGTTCATGTCTCGAGCATTAACAAAGCACTAAAGTAGCTTAGTAATCATTTCCCACATTTTCTGAGCATCTAACATGACATACAGAAGTGCAGAGCAGCTTCAGAGAAGAAACACTTAAAATGCACAGACTCACACCAGCCACCCAATGAGCCAGTTCCTCAGTTGACTGTTTCCCTGGACACAGCTTGGCAATGTGAGCTAACTTTTGGCAAGTTGAAGGTTAGCAGGTAAGATTGAGTTAGGGTGAGTACCTACTTATAACTGGGTGCTACTGCCATGCAGGTCTTGGGTAGGCTGCAAATATGTGTGATGATTGAGGTTAGGTCAGCTGTCAGGTTAGTCAGGTTCAGGTATGCTCATTGCTCAGGTCACATTTTTATGGACATTTGGCAAATTAAAAAACTAACAATCTGATCTAAGCTAACCCGACTAAACATACACAACTACTGAGTACTGACTATAGGAACTGAGCACCTAACTACTTGTGCCCACATCTCATACCATGTCAAAGTAGAGTTCCTTGGTGGAAGATTACCCTCAGTACTTTTTATCCCAGCCCTGTGAAGAAAACTAATACTTCTAAGCTCTGAGTCACTGCTGGCCATCCACAGGAAGAAACGCTGAGACTGAGAGCTTTGCCATTGTATATTGGACCAATAATGACTATCACGAATGACTATGAACACATAGTATGATCACATCGTTGCATGGATTGTCACATTGACAATTTTACTACAATCCTTTTTTCAAGAAATACAGTGATGATGATTAACATCATAATCAACATTAAGTGGATTTAGTGATCCAAGCTTTCTCCTCCAGTAGCAATGGAATGATCGCATGTTTCATTTGCCAGACACTGAGTACCTGATGCACATTTCTGCATAACATCTAAGCATAGTAAAACTGCCCAAGTCCATTCATTCTAGATTTTAACTTGATAGTTAGCACTAATTTATCTTGCTGTTGTAAGTTATAATTCAATATTCATACCAATACATCAATATGCGCTCATCAGTCAACATTTTCTGGCATGATCCTGCTCAGCGTGCTCTTCAGTATTGCTCCAAGGTCTGCAATATTATAGCTTCTTTTTGGACAATAAGCTCTTTTAATTTTACTTTTTCTTGCTGATACATGAGCCCGATCAACTTGCGTTAATCAACCAAAATTTCTTGACTTGTTCAACTTGATATTGATATTGAAATTGCTCAGTAGTCAGGACCTCTGTCAGCCTCCTGGATACTTCAGATTGTTTTCAGTCAACATGCTTCTTAAATATGATATAAGTCAATCTTGAGGGATTCAAAACATCCAACAAAACGACGTACAAGAGCAAGAAAACCACCAGATAAACTAAAAAATGGCCTTGGAACAGAGCCAAGTGGTGCTCCATTTGTTTGTTTACAATGATTGTAGTGCTGATGTATTTTTAGGACTCTGAACGTCGGCTTATAAAAAAATGAAACGTTTTTACAAAAGTTGTAAGACAAGTAATATTTATCTGAAAGAACTAAAAGATTCAAAAGCCAAACACTATGAAATACATGAATCGGAACGAAAAAGTAACCCAAAAATCCAGCCTAATCACCGGCTCCTAAAACTGCAACACAATCAGCACTTTTCCCCGCAACTCGTTGTCCAGACGTAAATATGCTATTTTCCTATGGTAAATCGGAGTGATTGGTCGTGTTTTCAGTGTCTCTTTATTTTGCGCTGGTATTGCGTGGCTAAGAAGTTTTATCAAGAATGGCATATACTAAAATGTTCCTTTAATAATGGAGCTTCAATATCTGTGAGTTTTATTGGCAAGCGAAAACTTATTTCGCTGTTATTTTATCTGGAAATTACTCATTTTTTTAGGTCAATATTCAAAATATTTTACGGGAACAAGTTGGCACTTTTCTTGATTTTTGCACTCAAATCGCGTGCGATTCAACTGTATTGGAACTTACAAAGAAGCTTGGTGATTAATTAACTGCGTTGTTATGGCACTGTTTGCAAAGCATGGATAATGAAACTCTGCCAAAGACTTAGCTACATAGCAATGCCTCAAGTAATACGCAGGAGGGACAGAATTCAGAGTCCGATCGAGAAGAATCGGTGCAAATGCTACGAAGACCAGGCAGCTCTGATACAATAGCTAGTCGTCTCACTACTCTCACTCCATTAGACCAGCTGATTCCTGACAGCACCGACTCGGATGCAAAGATGGAGCTCATCTTCCAAGCCTGAAACCAGTTCTTCGATGGAAGATGTGATGCTGCCTCTGTCTCTGCTTTGTTGGCCACTTTGGACGGGGCGGAGCTCCGCTCCTTGCGTGAGCGGTTATTCGCCTGTCATCCAGAAATAGTTCCTTCGTTTGCTGGCCGTTCCCTGATTAGGGGGAGCTGTAATCAGGGAAGTAACTTTCCATATGAAAGGGGTGCAGGTGCACCCCCGTCCCCCATCCACTAGAAGTGCACCCCCATAGGCTAAGCGGCGCCCCACACGCCGCCCCACACGATTAGCTCTAGAGCAGATGGCGAGGGTGATTTCTCGGCTACATTCCATCTCGGCGTCGTGATGCTTGTGGGCTTGGAAAGCGTCCAGTCGTATGTAGGGTAGTGTAGGGGTAGGGTTGAGTTCAATCAGGTCCTTACATTTGAAAGGTTTGAACAACCCGCAATCAGCACAACATACCACAAGTTAAATAAAAAACTACCAAACTCCGCCCAACTAATATTAATAAACATTACAGCCAAACTAATGGCCTAAATAAAAATATATCTCAAATCCTAACAGTTATCGCGGGTGATGGCGCCATGAGTTGCTATTATCCAAAACAGGTGCAAATAAACATGTTTGTATGTCCTATGTATGTTTTTTTTTAAAAACGTTGCAGCGGCGCTGGGAACTGCAGTCTTAGATCTGGGTATGTTTGGCATCTGCAACTCTTCATATACACATTAACCCTATTTCGGACGGGGAGACCTTTCAGGATTTTCTTGTACAATTGCCAAACGCCGCGAGACATTCAGCTCATATTTGGTGACTTTTCCTAAATGCTCATTGCGCACATCTCAGCAAAAAAAAAAATGCCGGGTCAGGTCAGGTCAGGTAACCAGAGCGGGTTTGTTGACCCCACCTCAGAAAAGTTTGCAAACACGTCAGAGCTTGAGTTTTTCACGAAGTTATTTCCTCTCATCAAGTCTTCAAAACGATTCCCGGATGAAAAGTCAAAACGTTAAAAGTAAACGGATAAAAAGTCAAAGGACATTAAGTCAACAGACAAAAAGTCAACATCGCAAGAAGTCAAAGGACAAAATGTCAAATGAACAAAAAGTCAACCTGCCAAAAAGTCAACACGCCAGAAGTCAACAAGCTAAAAGTCAACACGCAAGAAGTCAAAAGACATAATGTCGAAGAGACAAAAAGCCGACATGTCAAAAAGTCAGCGCGCTAAAAGTCAACAGGCTAAAAGTCAACACGCATAAAGTCAACACGCAAAATGTCAACGCGCAAAAAGTCAACACGCAAAAAGTCAAGACGCTAAAAGTCAACACGCCTAAAAGTCAACACGCTAAAAGTCAACACG